TATGTTGCCCAGGCTGGTCTTGAATTCCTGGCCCAATTTTTAAAAAACAGCTTTGTTGGGATGTAATTCGCATACCATAAAATTCACCATTTTAGGGTGAACAATTCAGAGGTTTTTACTATATTTACAGAGTTCTGAAACCGTTACCATTATCTGATTTTAGAACATTTTCATCACACCCAAAAGAAACCCCACAGTCATTTCTGTCACTGCATTTACCCCACACCCTGAGACCATGGGAATCCTTAATCATCTTTCTGTGTTTATGGATTTTCACTTTTTTTTTTTTTTTTTGAGACAGAGTCTTGCTCAGTCTCCCAGGCTGGAGGTGCAGTGGCGCGATCTCGGCTCACTGCAACCTCTGCCTCCTGGGTTCCAGCAATTCTCCTGCCTCAGCCTCCCAAGTAGCTGGGATTATGGGCACCTGCCACCACGTCCAACTAATTTTTTGTCTTTTTAGTAGAGACAGTGTTTTACCCTGTTGGCCAGGCTTGTCTCAAACTCCTGACCTCAAGTGATCCACCTGCCTCAGCCTCCCAAACTGCTGGGATAACAGGCATGAGCCATAGCACCTGGCTGATTTTTACTATTCTTGACATCTCAAGATATTCACATATAAGTGAAATGTTACAATAGGCGTCTTCTTTCACTTAGCACAATGTTTTCACAGTTCACCATGTTATAGCATGTATCAGTACTTCATTCCTTTCCATGGCTAAATAATATTCCTTGCATGCATATGCCACATTTTGTTTATTCATTCATCAGTTGATGGACATGTGAGTTGCTTCCAGATTTTGGCTATTATGAATAATGCTGCTATGAACACTTGTGTGAACATTTTTACACGGACATATGTTTTCATTTCTCTTGGGTATATACTGAGTAGTAGAATTGCTGGGTCATATGGTAACTCTATGTTTAAGTTTTTGAGGAACTGCCAAACTGTTTTTCAAATATGGTTGTACCATTTTACATTCCCAGTAGCAATGTATGAAGACTCTGGTTTCTCCACATCTTTGCCAACATGTTATTGCCCACCAATTAACTTTTCATTCTGTACAGCACCCAGACACGTTTGTTGAATACAGGAACTGCTGAATCTGTGTTTGTTGGATTCATCATGCACTTCCCCTAAACAGAAACTTTTTGCATCTCTGAAATTCATTTACGTACTCTGTCCCCTAAAACGCCAAGCCAGATCCAGCCTCCACACTTGTAGTGGGGGAAGGTTTCATGAAGGAGGAGGCATTTGAGCTGGGAAATAGATGTAACAGGAAAACATGGATTTAGGATCATAATTGATCTAGGATTGAATTCTGTTTAACCACTTGAGACTTGGTTTTACCACCTACTAAGTGGGGATAATAGTATCCATCTCATGAAATAATGCAAATAAAATGCTTAGCACAGTGACCACCACATAGCAGGTCTCCTTCCTCCCCGGAGGATGAGAAGTTGGCTTTCAGATGAGCTGGGTAAGAACCTGTCAAGCGGAGAAAAGAAAATGTGCAATGGCCTGGTAGTGTGAAAGCAAGTGGCAGAATGAGGCGACTGGTGGGAGGGTAGCAACCAAGCCAGGAGGCAGATAAGGCCAGGGCACCAATGGACTCTCTCCCTGCAAAGGAAGTTGGATCTCATCTCTCATAAGTCATAGGCAACTAGGCGGTGAGTGACAGACCATGATTTGCATTTTAAAGAGCTCGTTCTCCAGCAGTGGGAGGCTGGACTGAGGGTTGAGACAGGGAGCAGTAAGACCAATAAGGGGGTCAATGAATTCATTGTTTAAATGAATTCAGGTGGGAAACCAGGGGATTAGACTGGGGCTGTGACAATGGCGATAGAAAGAGGAGCTGAACGGGAGAGAGGTTTCGGAGGTGGTGTCAATGGGCAATGGTGGCCACGTGGCCTGTGAGTTACGGTCTGACAAGCTCTCTGTACACATGCCAGGGAGGGAGGGCAGGGTGCTCTCCAAGTCACACCTTATTAAATCCTCACAACACCTCGGCAAGGAGGCACCCACTTTCCCAGTGACAGATCAAGAAACCGAGGCTCAAAGTAAGTAAGCAACTTGTCCAAAGTCATAAAGAGCAGGGATGAAGTTTGAATCCAGGTTTGTCTGCTTTCTTTCATCTTGGTGTCTCTCTGGGAAGGACTTAGCTGCACAGGGAAGTCTGGGATGGATTTGGACAGGGAGGGAGAGGAGGCAAAGTCAGTTATTTTTCATGGTGAGCAGCCTTGGTGTGATTGGCAGGTCAGAGCTCAGGGGATCCAGCTGAGGCCTGGAAGAGTTCTGTAAGGAGCCAAGGCAGAAATGTGGAAGTAAGATCATTTGTCCGACAGGGGGTTGGGATGTCTCCGATCGTCTCTCTTCCTCAGGGTGCTGGGCACAGTGAGACGCCTTGGGAACAGAAGTGGGTTGAATGGAGTGACCATGCTGGCGTGAGGGTGGTACAGGGGCCCAGGCAGAGAGCAGGCAGTTTCCTTCCTCCTTCCCCATTCAGAACCCCATCCCGTGCTGGGAGTCTGGATCCTCTGGGTTTGGGACCATGCTGGAAGGGAGTGGAGGGTGTTCACAGGGCTGGTGGCCACAACCAGGCTCTCCCAAGCAGCCTTGAGCCTGTCCCTGAGCTCTGCCACCAGTGGGGCTGTTAGAGACCACAGCTCCTTGCAGGAAAACTCAACAGTCACACTGCAAGGAGCTGTCCCGGGGCCGCCGGCACAGGCGAGCTGAGAGCCGGTGTGGAGAGGGTGCGAGATCCCTCTGAACAAGTTGGGAGCTTGGATTCCTCTCCTGGTGCCTGGCGGAGGGGACGCCAGGCCTCACACAGAAGGGGGACCCCCTGGCTTCTCCTCTCCCCCAGGCCACACCTCTCATGGCCCCCTTCACGTGCACATTGGCCTTTGTCCACCAGGCCCTGCTCACTTGGCTTAGAGTTAGCAGAGGCCCAGATGGGGACATGGCAGGGAGCCATCTGGTCTGCTCCCAAGACTCTCAGCCCCCCACCCTCCCAATGCCTCAGCCTGCCTTGTCCCGACGACCCCCTGCTTCTCTCTCCCAAAGTCTTTATCCGTGTTTACTATCTGCCAATTAGGCGGCCTCAATACCCTGCACATGGAAAGCCAGTCAACCAAGCGTGGTAATCCCTCAGCCCCCTCCCCACACCTCTTTCCCTCTGGGTTGGGGGAGAGGGCAGGAGGAGGAAGGCAGTTTGCAGTTTCTCCTCCAGTGAAAAGTGACCGTGGCATGGTCTCTCTGGTCAGCGTTTTCTCCCCCCCTGCAGACCCCTCCCAGGCCACAGCTGGAGTTGGGGGAGGTCGGGGTGAGGAGGGACAGCAGCAAGCAGGTGCCTGTGAGTGAGGGGTGGGCAGGGGCAGAGGCGTGGGGTGAGGCTGCCATGAGACGCAGGCTCCTGACTGCCTCAGGGGCTGGCTCGGTTCGCCTTTCCAGCTGGAAGTGTTCCAGGCCATGGACAGGTGTGTCTAGTGGCTCCTCCCCAAGGGAGGCCCAGGCTCAGCACATCTCTCTGGCCACTCTGAGACCTCCATCCACGTAGAAGGAAGAGGGAAAGAAAGAATGAAAGTGGAAGAGGAAGGAGACAGGGAGAGAGGTGCTGCAGGGGGACTGGGGACAGAGGACGTGTCCCAGGAGGGGCCTCTGTGCCCTCCAGGGACAGCCTCTGGATGCCTGCCGTGGAGCCCTCCAGCCCTCGGCACCGACCCGCACTCCCTTCATCCCAGCCTCAGCTCCAAGAAGAGGAGGGGCTCATCCTTGCAGCTGAGAACACTGAGCTCAGGGAAAACACTCGGCTGGTGCTTGGCAAAGCTTCTGGCTCCATGGTTCTTCCTCCCCCTCAGCCTCCATCACAGCCCAGTGCCTCCCCCACCAGGTGGGGAATCCACCTTCTTGCGGGACACAGGCAGTCTGATAGTCTGATTTCAGGCTCCTGATTTGTTCTGGCAAAGCCTGTCTTGCTGCAGGGATCACATGAGCTGCCCTAACAGCTTCCCAGGGCGAGAGGGCCCAGGCTCCGTCCATCCCCAGGGAGGGGGTGGAGCGCGGCAGAGAAACAGAAGAGCCACGGATTGGTGGTCACAAACTCTGAAAGGTGACTTTTCTCAGGAGAGACACAGTAGCTCAAAGGGCTCAGGAGTCAGAGACACCAGCCTTTGAGTCCTGAACCCCACTTACTGGCCACCAGTTGGAGCATGATGTTAGCCTCCCCGTGCCTGCAGTTCCTCCCCCCTTAAGGCAGGGTAGGTGGTAATGGTGCCTACCCCGTGGGGCTGTCCTGGGAGGGTGATAGTCCAGGTAAAGTCTCCAGAGCCATGCCTTAGACTTGAGGGTGCCCCACATGTGCTGGTGGAATTGACCACTTTTGTACTTTCTCCCCCTAGGCTGACCTCTCCCAGGGCCCACGCATCACACCAGGCAAGACTTTTTTCATCTGCACACAACACGGACTGGCACTGACTCCCAGCTGCCCTCCAGGCAGGATGTGGGCTCCCCCTGCTTTGTTCATCAATGTCAAATGTCCCAGGTCAAGTGAGGGATAAACCCCATCTAAGAGGACAGGAAAAATTCCGGTCAGATTGCTGGCCTTACAGCCAGCATGCAGGTCTGAGGGGAGGGCGGACAGCTGGCAGGGCAGCTAGTTTATAGTCTTGGTCCCCGCAGAGGTTCCCTTTATCCCAGTCAGTGGTGGCTCTGATCCATCCCATAAAGCCCCTACTCAGAGGGCAGCCTGCCCCACACGTGCGCTACTCCAGCCAGGGCGGGCCGAGACCTGGTCCTTCTATTTGAACAACTTGGTGTCCTGGCCTGCTGATACCCTCTCAATATCTGTTACTTCTTTTTCTAGAGAGGGGTTGAGCACAGAGAGAGGGGTGGAGGGCCAAGTGGGGTGGGGTAGGAGCGGCGATGGGCTTCCAACACACAACCACACCCAGAGAGAAAGGCCCTGCTGTAAACCAGATTGTCATCTTTGGCAACCAATGGATGCTAGAGGTCTTAATGCCTTCCTCCACCTCAGAGTGTTTCATCAGAGTCTTCTTTTTTAGAAAATATATATATTTTTAATAGAGACGAGGTCTCGCTATGTTGAGCAGGCTGGTGGAAATCCTGGCCTCAAGTGATCCATCCGCTTTGGCCTTCCAAAGTGCTGGGATAATAGGCATGAGCCACTGCGGCCAACCATAGTATTCTTTCAACCACAGACAGTAGACTTCCTATGAGGAATTCCAGGAAGTTGATGTTTTTCATCCTCTCCACCTTTATCAGAATGGATTTTAAGTCCCTTACAGACTGGCATGCTGGCTAACAGCTGTTGACCTGCTTCTTACTCCAGCTCTGGTTCCAACAATAACACTGGCTCCTCGAACCTCCAACCCAGGGAACGGTTTCTGCCAAGACAATGTGCCTTAGGAGCTGAGACTACCAGTGGACCAGAATTCCAGCAGTTCTCCAGGTATGAGCTCCCAGCAGAAGGGACAGTGTTGACTAGAGAATCCATCAGAAAAGTTTGTTTTCTGGAAGGACAGGACTGGCTGATGCTGAGAAGGGAGGGGAGTAGGAGAGGCAGGAACTCCCAGCACAGACCCCAGCCACTCCACCTGTCACCCCAAAGAGCTGGTCATGCCCCGGATCACGTTCCATCTCCCAGTGGGGAAAGGCAGCCAGCCACCCTCAGAGGAAAGCGTCCATGTGGCCACCGATGGCAGGGAGAGCAGTGTGGGGAGAAATCTCTATTTGGAAGAGGAGACATAGTTGGGTGGGTGGTTCCCTGGCCTTATCAGGCCTCTGCAGTCCAGCATGGCACTGGGAGAGATGGGCCGTCCTATCTCTGCCCTGCTGGGCTTGGCTCAGTCCCCACTTAGACGGAGGGCTTTGCCCTGTCACCCCTGCACTCCATGCCACCCTGCTTCGTTGACCCCACTGGCCTCCAGGCTGCAGCCAGCTGTAGTGGGAAGAGGAGTGGGCTGACTCTCAAAGTCAGGGGTGAGGACAGGCATGGTGCTGCCTGGACTGGGCAAATACTGGCAACGGCAGAAAGCAGGAGAGGTGCCTCGAAGGGGAGTTAAGATCCAGAGCATTTAGAGACAAATTAAACAGCTCTTATAGAATTCACTCAACTGGGGGTATTGATCACATTTCTCCCTGGTGGCAAAATGGACATAGCTTAGATAAGTCAAGGTAGCACGTACTTGGGAATGCTTTCCATTTTCCACTGAGGTAGGTGATGGCACAGCTGTGGCTTCAGGCTATGTGCTTGACATACTCTGACACTAGCGACGTGACCTCAGGCAAACCATATCTCCACTTAGTCTCACCTTCCTCATCTGTAAAACTGAGAAAAAGTTTTCATGAAATTAAACCCAGGCCAGGCATGGTGGCTCACCATTTAATTCCAGCACTTTGGGAAGCCAAGGTGGGCAGATCACTTGAGGTCAGGAGTTGGAGACCAGCCTGGCCAACGTGGTGAAATCCTGACTCTACTAAAAATACAAAAATTAGCTGGGAGTCGTGGCGCGTGCCTGTAGTCCCCAGCTACTCAGGAGGCTGAGACATGAGAATCACTTGAACCCAGGAGGCAGAGGTTGCAGTGAGCTGAGATCGCACTGCTGCACTCCAGCCTGGGGGACAGAGTGAGACCCTGTCAAATAAATAAATAAATAAATAAACACAATAATGTGTGTGACGTACACAGCCTAGGACACAGAAGGTACTCAGTCATTGTTCCTCCTGCTGAAAGTACCTTCCCATCACTTTCCAGTTGACTAATCTGATATTGAATAATGGATTATCATAACCCATGGTGGTTTTAAAACATGTTCATGTTTTTGACATTCCTTTCTTCAAAAGGTAGAAACGAATGTCCCTCCCCTCGGATTTAGCTGGACTTAGTGACTTGCTTCTAATGATGAGAATGTGGCTGAAGTGCAAGTGTGTGTCGCTGTGGTCTCTGCTTTGTTCTGCCTTGGACTGTCTGCTGCAGGGGCTGCCCTGTCACGCGGGCACTCAAGCTGCCTGCGGAGAGGCCCATACGGGGAGCATCTAAGGTCCCACCAACAGCTGGCACCAACTTGCCAACCATCTGGGAAGAAGACCCTCCAGTCCCAGTCAAGCTTGCAAATGGCTGTGGCTCTGGCTGATGTCTTAACTGCAACCTCTTGAAAGACTCCAAGCCAGAACGTTCCTGAATTTCTGATCCCCCAAGACTGTGAGATATATTAAATGTATATTGCTGTTTTAAATTTCTAAGTTTTGGAGTGATTTGTTACATAGCAATAGATAACTAACATATATCCTATTGCCTTCCAAAACGGTTTTGAAACTGCATATAGGTAAAATCATAGCTTTAACTAAATGAAAAGCTATTAGAACAGGATTTAAAAGAAGACAGAGAAATAACAAATAGGGTAGGTATAGGGAGGAGTCTGGCTGTACTAGAAAACCTGGCTAAAGACAAAACATAGCTCTAGGCTCCTTGCAAGCCAGGGCAAAAATGGAAGCTTGATGGGCCACAGTAAAACTTTTTGTGGTGGTGGTGGTGACTCTGAATGAGGATGTGCATTTGACATGTGGGCCTTTAGGTAAATAGCATCACACCGTCTGGTGGGTGGTAACGTGCAGGCACTCCGCCTACTGTAGATCAGACTGCGTGTTTGAAATGGTAAATACAGTAGTGCATACAGTTCACGTATAACCGTGCACCTTCTGCCAGTTTTCACGAACTCCTGGCATCATAAAAATAGAAAAAATATATTAATATATACATACATATTCAAAAAATATAACTTTCAACATAGGTACTAGTTTTTGTTTTTTGTTTTTTTGAGACAGAGTCTTGCTCTGTTGCCCAGGCTGGAGTGCAGCGGCACGATCTCAGCTCACTGCAACATTTGCCTCCCAGGTTCAAGCGATTCTCCTGCCTCAGCTGCCTGAGTAGCTGGGATTACAGCTGCCCACTACCATGCCCAACTAATTTTTGTATTTTTAGTAGAGATGGGATTTTACCATGTCGGCCAGGCTGGTCTCAAACTCCTGACCTCAGGTGATCCGCCCGCCTCAGCCTCTCAAAGTGCTGGGGTTACAGGCGTGAGCCACCACTCCCAGCTCATAGGTACTAGATTTTTTAAAAGGCATAAAAGGGTTGCTAGTGGAAAGAAAGTCTCCATTCCACCCATCCCTTACAGGTCAGTTTCCTTTCCCATGGCCAACCCTGTGTGATTTCTGACTTAGACTTCCAGGGATATTTTATACACATACAAGCAAGTCATGTAAATTGTTACCCCCTTCATTATACTATTATACTAATAGCAGCATACCACAGGCATTGTTCTGCACTGCGAGCTTTTTATTACTCCATATTGACATGACTCCAAGTAACATCTTCCCCTAATTATCACAATTTTTGATTTTCTGAGTTTCTACTGTTTCATTGTTCAACATTGAGAAATATAAAAAAGTTGGTGGTGTGGCTCATGCCTGTAATCCCAGCACTTTGTGAGGCTGAGGCAGGAGGATCATTTGAGGCAAGGAGTTTGAGACAAGCCTGGGAAACATAGCCAGATCCCGTCTCTACCAAAAACATTAAAAAATTAGCTGGGCAAGGTGGCATGTGTCTGTAGTCCTAGCTACTCAGGAGGCTGAGGCGGGAGGACTGCTTGAGTCCAGGAGTTCGAAGCTGCTGTGAGCTATGACTGTGCCGCTGTACCCCAGCCTGGGTGACAGGGAGTTCTTGTCTCTTAAAAAATTTGTATGTATATATACATGCACACACTCATATACATACATGAGTTAATATATACATATACACACACGTAAGAGTTAAGAGAATAGGCCGGGCGCGGTGGCTCATGCCTGTAATCCCAGCACTTTGGGAGGCCGAGGCGGGCGGATCACGAGGTCAGGAGATCGAGACCATCCTGGCTAACACGGTGAAACCCCGTCTCTACTAAAAATACAAAAAAACTAGCCGGGCGAGGTGGCGGGCGCCTGTAGTCCCAGCTACTTGGGAGGCTGAGGCAGGAGAATGGCGTGAACCCGGGAGGTGGAGCTCGCAGTGAGCCGAGATCGTGCCACTGCACTCCAGCCTGGGCGACAGAGCGAGACTACATCTCAAAAAAATATATAAATATTTAAAAAATTTTTAAAAATAGACTTAAGACAATAAAGGCACTTGTAATTCCACCAAGAAATGACTGTTAAATCTATGCTGTTCAAGTGTGTTCTTTCCTGTCTTCCCCTTATAAATACGAATTTGTGTACTGCGTTTAATTTTCAAAGTAAAATTGGCACCAAAGTGTAGAAATAATTTTATAATCTGGCTTTTTTCCCCCATTTACTATACATACGTTCCCCCCTCCCCAACCATTATATTGTGAGTATAAGTAGGGTTTTCTTTCTTTTTTTTTTTTTTTTTTTTTTTGAGACAGAGTCTCGCTCTGTCTCCCAGGCTGGAGTGCAGTGGCGCGATCTCAGCTTACCACAACTTCCGCCTCCCGGGTTCAAGTGATTCTCCTGTCTCAGCCTCCTGAGCAGCTGGGATTACAGGCATGTGCCACCACGCCCGGCTAATTTTGTATTTTTAGTAGAGATGGGGTTTCTCCATGTTGGTCAGCCTGGTCTCAAACTCCCGACCTCAGGTGATCCACCTGTCTTGACCTCCCAAAGTGCTGAGATTACAGGCGTGAGCCACCATGCCCGGCCATATGCAGGGTTTTCTTAATGTTCTGCCAGCGCGCAGGACCAACATGAACCTGCCTTTTCTGTGTCTGCTCCAGACTGCTGAGAACAGCTTGGTCTAACCTCTGTGACCAGAGCATCCCCAAGATGGAAAACTTGGTATCTGTAAGACACCAAGAAAACCGAAATTGTGAAGCATTAAGCTTGTTCATACAAGACTTTCCTAGATTTCCAAGATGAAATAGCCAGGGCCACACAGCCTGCAGATGACCAGCCCCCTGTGCCTCCTCAGCTTTCAAGGGGCAATGAGAGCTACAAAATGTCCTTTCCACAACAGCCTGAAAGGCGGCTGCTTCCACTGAACACATCTTAGAACCATGACTTGTCTGCCATATTCCTCCAGGATTCTCCAGGAAGCTGTTTGCGGCCTAGGTATTCCCATTGATCTTGAAGCTGCTGCTCTAGACCATCCTTGTCTGGGGGGAGTCATCATAATATTTTCATCCATCACCTTCTCAAGGCACAAATCATACTTCCCAACAATGGGGTTTCTCACTGGAAAAGAGTAAATTACATAACTTATCTGTCCATTACTCATCTTCTGTCCTTTTTCAAAGGCTAGAAAACTGGTCACAATTCAGCAAAGAATTCCATAAAGAATATGAATGACAATATTTCAAGTGGATAACTGTGAGAGATAAGCCAGTGATTGTTTAATCTGTCTCCTAATATGCATTCTCTTCTAGCAGATCGAGATAGAGAAAAGTGATAATACAAACAATACCAACATCAGTTGAGGGCTTCCTGATACTGGGGTCCATGCTAAGTTTTTTTTGGTATATTAGAATCTTGCTTAATTCTTATTACAACCCTAAGAGTTTAGCATAATTATTATGCCCATTTCATAGAAAAGTGAAGAGGTAGGAATCAAACTCGGGTCTCTATGACTCTAGAGCAATAACGCTTTACTATTGGACAAAGAAAAAGAAATGCTACAACAATTGCAAATGTGGAAATTTCATGGTATTATTGGTATAATTGCTTAATGAGATAACATGTGAATATCATGTGTCATAGCTATTCTATCATCAAATGGAGTGGGAAAGAAAACACAAGCCCAGTATAATGTAATGTTTTATTTAACTGATGCCTGCTGTCCCTGGAGATCCACAGTAAACTAAGATGATGAATAAGACAGCAAGTATTTTTGGGAATCAGAGAAAGTGGAAGTATAAACTCTCAAGTTTGATTGCTTAGGTTTGAACCCCAGCTTTGACACTAACTGTGTGATCTTGGGCAACTTCTCTAAGCTTCAGTTTTCTTCTCTGTAAAATGGAGATGATAACAATCTACCTCAGAGGTTTGTTGTATTAAATTAATGCATCAACTTAAAGTACCTGGTGCTCAGTAAATTCTAGCTATTACATTTTACTCACAGAGTTAAAATGTGCCAACAACCTCTATCGATGACAGCAGCCCTCAGTTAAATAAACAATTAGTGAAGATCCAACGGACAATACATGAATTAGAAAACCACACTACTGATCAGAATAGTGAAAGTGTGCTATCACTATTCATTTTATCAGCATACTTGTAGTAGGATTTGCTAAGACCAGCACCCAGTCTTTTATCCTTTTCACATTCCCAAAGTTATCCTTGGCTACCTAAAAGAAGCAACACTGTGGTGCTCTGGAAGGCCCTCGGCACCCTAGATTAGCGAATGCCAGTGGGGGTGCCAACTCTTTCTCACCTAGAAGCCACTTTAGCCATGAGATAAAGTTGGGGAAGGCTTCTGTGACATTGCTACAAGCTCTAATACCTGATTTTACTACCAGCTGGAGAGAAGGCTGCACTCAGTGAATAACCTGGCATAACAGAAACAGACTTGAGTCTGAATCCACTTATTAAGTGGTGAAATGAGAAAAATTCCTTAGCCTCTCTCTAAACCTGTTTCCCCCTTTGGTGGAGATAACCATACAGTGCAGGATTGAGGATTAAATGAGATAATGTAATTAAAACATGTAGTACAAAGCCTACATGGTAGGCACTTGATAAACCGTAGTTATTATTATTTTTAGCTTTATAGATCAGACTAATGGCTCCAAGGAGGATTTTCACCGAGCCACTTCCTGACTTTCACTATTTAAGATATATGAGATTATCTTTCTGCTATGTACATGTTACTAACATGTCACCAACATGAACAGTGTTGTCCATTGTGAGCAACAGAAATGCAGAATCTATTTTTGGCCAAGGATGGTGAAGGACAAAAGGATGAACAAGGTATGTACAGTCCCTGCTTTCCCAGAGCTTACATCTTGTAGGGGAGACAGATGCATAATCAATAATGCTTACAAGACAGGCTAAGCATGATCGTAAAGTGCTACTGGAGTTTGGTAAGGGAAGAAGTCATTTTGATGAAAGGAAACATCCTTTATCAGTGTGCCCAGATGGAGAAGGGTGCCTGGAGAGCTAAGGCGGTCACTGGGAGAGTATATGCCTTCTGCCGCGTACCCAAGTTGGGGAAGATGGGGACGGAAAGAGGGCCTGCTTGCCAAGTGACAGG